TGAAAAACTTCGAAAAAAGCAGCGTCATGTTCAAGTGGATTTTGCAACTCAAAAAAAAACCACGCAAATCTAAAACTTCTTGAATTCAAGCATTTTGTTGTGAAAACTGCAACATTTCCTTATCGATGGTCCACTTTCTAAAAAGGCCATTTATTTCTGTCTAGAATGATGTAAAAACGAGCGTTCTTGCTCATTTTGCTTCCGAGAAACATGCAAAATGGGACGGAAAACATGAAAGTTTGCAATAATCTTACGCCACCCTTGCACAAAACGACGATCTTGTCTATGCAATTTTTCTAATTTCATAGGCAACAGAAGACTGTATTTTTTCTACATAACCTGAATTTAAAGCTGGATCAGCGGATTGCCGGATTGCGTGAAATCCAGGACTTAGATAGAATAGAATTAATTAGAATTATATAATTTAGGCAGCCAATTTTTGCATGAAGAATAGATGAAAATAGCTCCAAAAACTAGCAAAATGTGGGAACAATACTGGGCACATTGATAGATTTCCGCTTCTACCGAAATGATGATATTCAGTTTCAATTAGTGGCAGATCCATGGAAAAAATGTACTTTTTGCGTGAAATTTTGGAATATTTGGGTTGAATTTGGCCGAATCCGTATTAAAACTCCTGCGTCTCCTAAATCTCATCAGCGGCAGCATGTTCCCATAGTCCATTACCTGTCATTCAGAGCGATAAGCCAATTTCGCACGATAATTATGTCAAGCGGTTAATGTCGACCTCCGCGCGTTCCCTCTATTGGTTTATGGTAATGTCCACTGTTTATTAAATTTTCCTTTATTTCGTTATCTTCATCCCCAAAAATGCCTACCGATTGACATTTGCTACATATGGGAATTCAATTTTTCTATTGGACACATTCAAATGCTACAGTGACTATTATGTATCGAATTCTGGCGACAAATTTCAGTTTGGAAAATCAAAATGTAATTCCCTAAACTGTTGGAAAGAAAAAACGGAAAAGCAATAATTTGTAAATCACCCATAATAAACGAATGAAAATTAGTAGATACAAAAAACCGTAAATATCCAGTAGATCAATGAATCAGCAGCTGCTAGTAAAATTGGAGAAAAGGAAACATTTGCTCCAAAACTTATCACAGTTCTCTCTTCATATAGGAACCAATCAATTAAAATTCTACTGATGATTGCAAGTTAGGCAAATACACATTCTATACCAAATAATTAACTTCTTTGTATGTGCGTCGAAACAGTTAGCACAGTGCAAAGACCTTCCAACAGCACAAATATAAAGCAAATTCCCATTTTCAATCAAACACAGGCTTTCCATCCGTGTCGTGAACGATAACAGTTACACTGTAAATCAATTGCCGATATTTGCTGCCAGTCAATATTAACTAAGCCTAAACCTAAAAACACCCTTGTTTATTTTTGTTTATATTTATTGCCTTATTCTTAATAAAACCGGTGTTTGTTCTTCAAAACCGCGCAACGTGCGATAGATTTATTGCAGGATATAATCACGAAATTATCAATGTTAAACGCAAGAAAGAACACCCATATGTGTATAAAGAACGATTTTGAACAGCTTTATTAGCGCCAAGCAACTTTATTAATCTTGGTTATGTGCACATCTTTTAAATTATGTATTATGTATCGCGAAACACTGCATAATAAAGGAGCCAGTTTAGTCTGTCCCATGTTTTTGCTCGTAAAGTCGCGCTAGAATAGCTAGGACTCCATTTATCTCTCAAAATATGGTTATTCGTAGTTCGGAAATGGTTCAGCGATACTCTCAGCGACCTAAATATGAGCTTCTTCCATATTTACAGGATGAAATACAATGTTGCTTGATGTAATTAGTGACAGCTTTTCTGGACGCTTTTAGAGAGCCACAGCTTCCAGCAAAATTATACCACCTTCTAACAACTTATTCATAAGACAAAATAAGAAAATACAAAAAATGCGGAAGTTACAAAATTCATAGAAGACTGGGAAAAGGATTTCCACAAGGCTCTAAATTTCGACATAAGTCGTAATAAGCAATAAAATGTATCAATCTGTAATAAAAGACAAAAAAATTTGAGGCTAAATACCCAACAAACAGTCTGTGAAAAAATGAATCCGCCTCAACAATATAGAACTTATCTACAGATGATATATGCGTAACCACATGGAGACCAGGCAGGATTATTTTAGAAAGCAAAATGCCTAAAGTACTCTGAATAATGGACGAATGGTCGTATGTGCAAAAACGACATATTTGCACAACTAAACGCACGACTAAACGCTTATGTTTTATGTATTTACTCACTAACACGAATAGATGTTAGTGAGTAAATCTGTTGAAATGACTGCTGCATCCGTTTGCATCTATCTATCATCTATCAGCCGCATAGTGAAACTGTAAAAGCTGCGTTAGAACTCATGTTGCAAATGAGAAGTCACTCTACTGAATTTACCATTTTTACCGAATTGAGGTTCTCCTTTTCCGACATACCCAAAGGCCCCTTGCGAAAGTTATATCCCGTTCCAGCTTAGTTCAAAAGCAGGCAGCCACAGGCGTTTTTGTCTGAATGCATAATATTGCGCTGACAGGCTCGCCGTTGCTTAAACTATTAATCATACCAATAAAGGGATGATGCGATTTAGTTATCCCAACTCAGAGATGAACTTATGTTTCCCTGTCAAGATTTAGCCAGCTTTTGTGCGGTTTCTTCGACTGGAAAGTTAGTTTGATGGTGGAATTAATTCGAAGCTGATGAAATGCCGGTGTCGTCTACTTAGAGCATGGAAGATGTTCCAAGACGATGTTGGCTATTAGCACCTATTCCAACCGAAAAGTCAATTTCCATTAATCCCTCATAGCCGTTTAGGCTTTCTATTTAGCTCGATGAAAATTACCCAAGGATGACTCTGAACAATATCGCATTCGTTTCTCACAATAGGTTTAAAGCTACGTATATCAGGGCTCAATTAGACTTACATGACTGTCATCGTTATTGTACAGCAAATGTAGATCTGTCTTTTCTCTAACTCTAAAAGCTGCCTTAATGGACTCTATTGTCGGCGTAATGTTTAATTATAAATAAGTAACTTTCAGCATCCTTAGTGGCACTGGACATGCATAGTTCAGCATTATAAAATGCAGTGTAAGCTTAGTAACTTTCATTTAGCTACCCAAAGCGCTTTGAAGTACCCGACTTTTATTTGATTTTCCAACAATCGTTCTCGCGCTCCTATATTGTATGGGTTAATTTACCATTAAAGATTTGCTCAGGTAGCAGGATTGACGTAATTAGTCGGCGTGTTTATGCATGTGGCTTAATTGAAATACTACTGGCATTGTGACGACAACGTCAATTTAGAAATTTAATCATTCTGCACGGCTTATCTCACAAGAATTATTACTTAAATAGCGCATTATATTGCAAGGGGTCAAAGCGCGTCTGTAAATTAAATACTAAAGGTTTAAAACCGTGAAATTACCTTAAATGGAACATCCACAAGTGCCGACGTCCAATTCAACATGAAGTGCTTGGTGAGAAAAACTGCAAGTTTCCATACATCCTAAAACAGAAAAAAGTAGTGGCTAGTATTTTTTAAGTGCAAACAAATCCTGCATGATACTACTTAATATACATTATTCTCTCCACCTAATTACAGTAAAGACAAGCACTCTTTCTCTGCACAATTTTCGTTTAATTATGATAGATTACCAGCTCCAAGGTGGTCCGTTAAACTATGCAAACGGACTTTCTCCTTCCCATTGGAAGGTGATCAATAAAAACGGGAAATCTGGTAACATTACTACCGCTGGAGACGAACATACGTCTTTTTAATGATTTCTCTTGCGAAGGTAAGATCTATTAATCAAGAAGCAATTAAAAGTACCAATCAATTAAGTATGAGCCGGGAATTGATGGGTTTATGCCCGGTCTCCTTCCACCTTTCATTAATTATGAAAATTAGTGACTTAGGTATTTGTTCCTCAGTTGGATTTTTCATCGAACGGTAGGAAGTGCAGAAAGACAATTACTTTCTTAATTATTACCTACTTTAATGATGAATTATCATTTTATTTTCAAACAAACATTTTTATAACTTGAAAAATCAGAAATGTGTTAGGTAGGCGATTGAATGAATCATTTCCTTATCATCCTGGACAAGTAGATGATTGAATGTTTTCAGTATTATCCAGAACATACTTGAGAATGGAACCTCTTAAGTTTCCACACAAACATTGCATTTGATTGGTCCAGAAAGCGGCAAACTTGAAGCTAAAAGTTCAAAAATCCTGCCCTTAAAATCGGCAACAAGTGAGCACTTCAGTATTTAGTAGATTTTTCAAAAATTGGAAGACTTACCAAAAGAGAATATAAATTTGAAGCAAACCCATTTTTGTAAGTCATCATTTCTGAGTCAATAAAAAGTCTGAGTTAATAGTCAAAACCCGAGAATGTAAATTACGAAAGTCGCAGTTGCAACAGCGATTTTTCAAAAACGAGCAAACTCACACGTGCAAATTGTGAAAATTGCGCAAAAGACAGCAAATTTAGAGAAAAAAAGATGACTGTGAGCACACAACACAACAAAAGTATTTATTTCTCAAAAATCCCTGAATCGCAAACTTAAGCAAGTAGAATATTGAGCCAGAGAGCAAGAGTAGTGAGTGTACAAATTGTGTAAATAAATTTCAATCAAATTCCAAATGAGTTTTAATCTTAAACTCAAAAAACTCCTAAAACTCCCAACTAACCAATGCTGGAAGGTATTGGGTTGTAGACGCAGGAAAAATGTTAAGCATTAGTAATCCAAGCGGCAATTAGCTGAAATATCCGAAAAGCGAAATCAAATTAAGCTTTCCCAATTCCATTTCGACTAGCTACTGACTCTTTAAATTAGAATTTAATAAAACTTTCGCTTCTATCCCTCCTTCCTTCTGCACTTGACAGACTCTTCATGTCCTTAACAGGAAAATTCACTTAGTTTCGACTGTAATTACTTTACTGAATTATTTTCTTTATAAAGAATTAAGGGCTCCAAAGTTTCGCGGGAACGAGTATATGCCAAGATCTCTCAACAACTACGAAGAAAAAACGGTTTTTGAGGGGACCAGGATTTGTTTGTATCCTGTGTCGGGTTGGAATTAAATGGTTTGGCGGAAACAGGGTGACATTTTGCAAAACGAAAAGCGAAAGTGAAGAGGGTTTGAATTCTTTAAAGTTTGTTATCCCGAATTGTTTGAGTACTCGGTTGAAAGCAGAAGAGCATGGAAACATGCCACAGCTTTAATTAGCGGAAAACTGACAGAAACTGGCTGGAACTGTATAAAGTTTCATATGTGTCCCAGTTACAGTCCTGCTGTTTTGTTATAGATTTTGATATAAATTGATAACAAAGCGATGCGGAATTATGTACGCAGGAACTTAATGGTATGTTTAAAGCCACTTTTTGACCTCTCGTAGTCGAATTCTGCAATTCCATATCGAAATAATGTGTAAAATTAGGTAGCTTCCGAATCAGGTGCATTTTCAGCAACGAGCTTTCAACACAATACCGGAACTGTTCACACTCGTCCACTGACAAAACAAAGAGAGCCAATTAAAAAAACTGCAGGCGACAAAAATTACAAAACTTTCGTCGTAAAAACAGAAAACACTGCCATTTTGCGCTGTTGGCATTAAATATTTCAACATCAATTCCGCTTATTGCAGCCATTTGGCGGATTAACTCTTATATGAACCCCTCCGCTAATTGGGTTTTCTTGTAATATAATGAAAAATAAAGTTCACTAATCGTTTGGCAATATTTGGCTAAAGGAATCAAGTAGAGTGTTGAGCGACAATGAAAATTAGGAGATGTGATTGAATAGTAGCTCTTTCTGGAAAATCGCAGTTCAAGCCGGTAATGCGGCTCCCATTCCGCATGTTGCCTCCAGACTATAACTCCTTCGCCGCATCCTCTGGAGCGACAGATTACCCCATTTATCTCCACAGAGGCAGGTGTCATAAAATTAGCGAGGAGCTATTACTAACCGGGTGTCACGTGACAAATATAACCTTCGGGAAATTAGCGCGGAACTGTCACATAGGGCTCATTTCATATGTTTCCCGTTTTCCCGTCTTGGCTCGAAAGTGAGGGTCGCGTTTCTTATTTGCAACCAGAGTATGTAAAATGAGGCACATTTTCCAGGAAAGTGGCAAGGAAGAATTGGCGCAACACCTTACCCACCTTGAACATATTAAGTTGTACATATTATCTACTGGATTTTAGAAATCTTAGTATGCAAATTTGGAAACTTCCGGGCCTTCTTCTTCAAGGAGAAGAAATTCTTATGCTACCACAATATCGATCATTCATAGCAACACAATAGTTAAATATGTTGTGTACAGGCAAATTGGAAAACCAGATCTGAATTTTCTATGAAATATCCGATGAAACAGGATAATTTTAAAATGCGGTCTTGAAACGTCGCGTTACTGGGGCTCCTTTGCTTGGAATGGGAACCATACTTATGTTTAAAAAGTCCTGTAAATTTCCTAGTGAAAGCGATACTCACTAAGCAACTATTAAGACGTTTTCTGTTTGATCGAGACAAGCACTAACTCCAAGTAACGTACACATTTTCAGGTTTCGCGTAGATTTTTTCAAGAAATAGTCAATTGAAAACTTAAGCAAATAAATGCTGGAAGATTTCGGATACAAACACTTGCGGGTCCAAATTACCGAAGATCTGCGTACCGTAAATCGCAATAAAAAGTGATTTTGACTCGAAAATCAGCAAACTTGGAGGAACAAAGAGAGCTAAATTTAAAGCTAACGCATTTCCAAAAATCCCGCAAAATCAAAAATAAATAAGTAGATGCTTCAGATTTCTTTCTTCAGAGTCAATAGAAGACACTTGAACTGTTGTAGAAACTATAAACATCTTAGATAAATAGAAATAAATAGGAGGAAAACTAATTTTCAAAAATGTCGCAGATCGTATAAACGTACGCAAGTAGAAGGATCAAATATTTTAAGTCAATAGTAAGCTTATGAGAGTGCAAACTGTGAAAAATTGAGCTAAATCACAATGAACGCGATGTTCCAAAAATCTGAAAACTTGGAGTGTCACTTTTCCCTCCAAGCGACATGGATTCGAAGTAAGCCCAATTTCGAAAAATCTTGAAATACGAAAAATAATCAAGTAAACGCATGAGATTTTGTAAGCCAATGAAAAATCATTATGAGATCAAACGATTAAAATTTCAGGCTCATAGCAAAAAACTGATCTTCTCACAATCAGAAAACTTGCACAAGACGTGCAAAAAAGGCATACACTGGAAGAAAACTCGTTTTCAAAAATGCCGCAAATGCAAAAATAAACCAGCAGAAGCTTGACATTTTTAAAACCAATAGAGCACACTCGGTAGATCAAATGATGAAAATTTCAGGTCAATCGGAATGAAGAGTGATTTTTTGAAAATCAGGAAACTTGGAACAAAAATTAGACATTAATTCGAAAAAAACTAATTTTCAAAAATGCCGAAAACTCAAACAAAAATAAGAAGCTTCAGAATTTGTAAGCCAATAGAAGATTTTGACAGTGCTATCTATGAAAATTTGAGTTCAACGACAATTAAACGTGATTTTACCAAAATCTTCGAAAAATACATATGAATTACATATAAACGAGTGAAAGCTTCAATAGGAGACACCTCCAAGTGCAAATTGTTCAGATTTCAGAGCAATTGCAGAGACGTGTTTTTCGCACAAAAATCAGCAAACTCTGAGCGATAAAGTTCAAAACAAACTAACTTTCAAAAATTCCTCCATTGCAAACCTACGCAAGTAGAACTTTGGATACTTATATCTCAACGATTAGAAGATACTTGAGAGTGCAAGTTGGAAAAATTTCAGTTCAATAGCAATAAAGCTTGATTTTCCAAAAATCAGCAAACTAGGAGCAAATCGGATACTTTAAATTTAAAGTTATCCCATTTTGAAAAAGCCCGCAAAGTCAAATATAAACAAGTAGAAGCTTGAAATTTTCTTAAAATTTGAGGTCAATTGGAATGAAAAGTAATTTTACGAAATCCAGCAAATTTAAAGCAATAAACTGTCTGAAATTCGAAAAAATCAGCTACAGATATTTTGAGTTGAAGAAGACGATTTGAAGTCAATCGCAATGAAGGGAAACTTGAAGCAAAAAAGTGACTAACAATTCGAAGCCAAACCATTTTCAGGAGTTTCTCAATTTCAAACCTAAGCAAGCAGAATTTTGAATATTTCTGATCCATTAGAAAGCCAGTTAATGTAGATATCGTGCGAATTTCAGGCAAATTTGAAATGACTTTAAGTATCAACCTGGAAAACAAGTAGAAACCGATTAAACCGTTTTGTGTTTAATAGAAACAAGCACTAACACCGAGAATGGAAATGATCAAAAAATTTCGGGCAGAATGTCCCGCATATCGAAGCGCAACAGTTTGAACACAGGCTACATTTCTACCCATCAATCAACTGTTTTCAGCAGGACAATTTTATTTAACATTAAGAACAGATTGAAACATTATAAGAAAGAA